ACCTTCTGAGTCCAAGAACAAATCAATTAATTTAAGAAAAAAATACTTCTCTAGATTTTTATTTTTTTTTTTACAGGGTACTGCTAACATTTACAGTATTGTAACTTCTTTGTTATCGTAAGTTTTCACCAAGGGATTAATTTACTAACACACTGAGTAAAACCAAAATATAAAACAGAAAATTAAAGAAATGATGTGCTAATAGAATGCAGTCACAGTAAAACTTTGTATCAGTGACTCAGTGATGTACAAACATGTAAAAATGTCATCCAACAAAACACTCATTGCACTGGCAGACAACCTTATTTACCTGTTTGAATATAGAGCCAATTAACTTATTTGAAGAAATATAACTCATATTTTTTGCTGTGCAAAAGTTACACAGTGTTGCTTTAAAAAAGCAAAAATAAAGTATGGAAAATGGGACTTTAAGATATGCAGTACAGTATAGTAGCAGTCATTCAAAATGGCCCTTCCCAGTCAAAAGCCAGTCGAATGGCAGCAAAATCACCTCTAACTTCCAGCCGCTGGCTTTCTCCTGGGCGAGCATATTTTTTCACTCATACTCCACCCTTTCACTGACTTACAGGGTCTGACCAGGAGATAAAACCTCTTTTTAGATCTTAATGTCCACAAATCATGACAGAAAGAATGTTTTAGATGTTTTGGGGAGCAGCCAAGGACCAGCCCAGACATCCCAAGTTCCAAAAACTCATTTCAGGGAGATGCTTATTGTATGCAAGAGGATTAGTCCCACTGAAAAAAAGAAAAAAAGTGAACTAATTTTAAATATAATTTCAGTTTAATATGGAAAAAAAGTCAAAATTCTGAATTTAATCTCAGAATTGTGGATCTTAATGTAGATGGGCACCATGAAGGCAGAGATGTGAAGCACTCAGCCTCACTGACAAAGATGTGAGTTGTTTTGGAAGGCCACAAACACATTGGTGGAAAATGACTGAATTAGGCAACTTTTTACGTGCCAGAGGGGTCCCTGATGCTATTTCATTAATGGAAGTGCAGAAGGTGATAAAACAAGAGAGCTAGTTTAGTCTCTTAAACAAACATGGCTACGTCTTGATGCTAACATGTTTGTTAGCTGCTAGAATTCAGTCAGAATTTTAAGATTTTAAGAATTTTTTCTCAGAATTTTAATCAGAATTCTGATTTTTTTTTTCTCACATTACACAGAGATAAAATAAACAAATCAGTTAACTTTTTTTTATTTTTTCAGTGGCCCTAATCCTCTTCCTTATTACTGAACCCCCTGAATCCCCCGCCTATTTTCGGACTAATCCAATCAGCTCTTTGACAACCAGTCGCCTGGAACGCTGGTTGAACAGAGTATTGCCTTGGACAGATATGCTGCCCATGTTTCACAAGCAACCTCCTACCCACACCCCTTTCTCTTGTTGTCTGAGCAATTAAAGTAGTTCTAATCCCCACATGATGCACAAATTATTGTATTGCTGCACGCTCTCAGTCACCTTAAAAAATCACCACCTCGCATAGTCTAAAAGCTGGGATCATTTATCCGAGTCGCGGACATCCGTGAACAACTATCAGTATCAAGGAGACTCCTGGAACTTCCGGGTGACATGGGGTATCTGCCAGCCAAGGGCCCATCAGGGAAAGCGGGGAAATTTTGAATGGCTACCACTGTAGTAGAAATCAGAATATGGCTGTAAATTTGGATGTCAAAATAAAGAGAGTTAAACTTATGCAAGTTCTTCTTTCTTATTTTTGGCGGTAGGATCAGTACCGCCTTACCTTCGGCGCCTACGTTGGTACCGCCGGAGATGCTTTGACTGGAAGCTATCAGGCTCCTGATTCCAAGTGGGCTGGTCACCAGGGCATGAAATTCAGCACTTACGACCAAGACAACGACAACTACAGAGGCAGCTGCGCTCAGGAGGACAAGGGAGGCTGGTGGTTCAATAAGTATGGGCTGCACCATGAAGGATAAATCCGCATTTATCCTTCCTAGGAGCAGTTTTTCTGATTGATCTGGGCTTTCCTTAGATGCCACTCGGCCAATCTCAACGGTGTGTACTACCCCAACGGACACTACAGCGCTGTGACAGACGATGGTGTGGTCTGGTACCCATGGAGAGGTTGGTGGTACTCACTGAAGACCTGCGTTATGAAGCTCAGACCCATAGAGCACAAAACGGACCTCACCAGCGACCAGATAGCAGCTCCTCTCAGGGGACCCTCCTAGAATGACTTTGCTTCAGCAAATCATAAATAAAATACTCTGCTTTCAATAATCTCTTTATAAGTTTTTAAGCTGTAAGGATTGTTTCTAAATCATAAAAAGTCTAAATGCTACAAGTGAAGCGGGAAGATAACAGAAGTATTCCTAAAATGCACAAGTAAGGGGAAAAACTGAGGACTTGTGAAAGTTTGAGTCAGTTTTAGAGACATGAATGTTGCAAGAGGAAGTTGCATCTAGATGTCTGCTTTGAAGGAGCAAATGGAAGTTTGATGTCAGTTTTACAGATGAGTAACAGCAGAAACATTGATATTTTTTATTGCACAGCTGCTACTGACTGAACAGGTGTATTTTAACCGTTTAACAGGGTGGTTTATTATCCTTTTTTCCAAGATTTAAGAATTTTTATCAAATGTATTTGCAAATATAGCTACATAAAAATAAAATGTTCTGCAATTAAACAGCATGGTGGTCAATATGTCTTGATTTCTTTATTCGTTTCAAGCAGCACTGCATACATTTTAACACAATTATTAGCTTAGAATGGAGTATGTTCAATGACTTTTCAGGTCAGAATGTGTATAAATGCTCTATGTGTGCTACTCTTCTCACAGATCGTCCTATGTGACTTGAGAAGGTCGGATTCATCTCTGAACCGGTCATGTGACCTTTAGAGGTGCTTTACATCAGTCTGAGCTCCCCTTAAACACCAGAGCTAACTAAGCCAGGGGTCTCCTGATAGTGGATAGGCACCAGAACCTCAGGGTCAATCTACACTGTTCCAACAGGAAAATTAACAACCAAAACATCCATATTTTCTAAATAAAGACAAACTATACTTTCCTACAGCCTTTACTGACAAAAAGACGCATATATTTAAACATCCCTAATTTCTAAATAAAAGGTATAGTGGATAAAACTCTTTCAATTTCAAGTTCTGGGGCGTGAATCTTTTCCATTGTCTTTACTTACCTATTTGTATCAATAAACATTCTGCATAAAAATTATATTTAGAAGCACTAATATCTACATAAATTGATTATTTAATAAGTTTTTATTAACATTGTTATTTATCTATGATTTCACTGAAGACTCATAGATGACTTGCAGAGACACTTAATTTTCTCTTCACCCCATATAACACAAAATCTAGTTCTAGAAAGAGCATGAATTCTGTACTTATCATCTTTGATGTTAGTATATTGATGTGGATAATTAACCACAAAAAATTAAAATGTTTTGAATATTCCACTTGAGTATATTACTGCTGCCACCATCTGTGTTTGAGGGGAAAAAATGGTAGGGGTGGCCAGTAATTGGCTAAGGGTGGCCATGGCCACCCATGGCCCCCCATCTAGCTCGGCCCCTGTGAAAGACATCTTCTGCCTCCATTTATCTGTTTACTACAGTGTGTTGAATTCATGTTAATGTGTATTTTAAGACAGTCTAAGCCCAATCAACCAAAACTTTCACGACCCCAATATGCAGTACCTCTGTGGACCCCCTGTTGAAGACCTCTGCTATAGAGCCATCGACATCATGCAAGTAACATCTGCTGTCTCTACATGTTCCTCCAGGAGGAGCCAATCCAGCAAATATACAGGTGCTGGTCATAAAATTAGAATATCATGAAAAAGTAGA